GAAGGAAGGAAGGAAGGAAGGAAGGAAGGAAGGAAGGAAGGAAGGAAGGAAGGAAGGAAGGAAGGAAGGAAGGAAGGAAGGAAAGCTTAGAGCTGGGCATGGTGGCGCACACCTGTAATCTCAGCACTCTGAAAGCAGAGGCTGGTGGATCTCTGAGTTTGAGGCCAGCCTGGTCTACAGAGCAAGTTCCACAACAGCCAAGCTTGCAGTGAAGGAAATTATCCAAAACAGAAAGCTGGTGAAGATGTAACTGAATGAGGGGCCCATGTTCAGCCCCAGCAAGCAGCAGAACTTAGCAACTTTGGCTATGTGGTTCTGGCTTTAAAGACAGAAGAAAGGGGCTATGGAATTTGCCCCTAAGACTAAGGAAAGCCTATGAGGCCTAGGAGGTGTCAGGGGTGTTCTTGAATGGAGGCCTAGAGAGGCCATTTTGTGAAGCTGTGAAGCTGAAGTCTGGATTGCCTTGGAGACCCCAGGATGTTGGAGATGCCAGGGCCATGGGATACCTGCTGAGGTGAGCTGCTAACAGGGAACGGAACCAGCCTAAGAGAGACAAGTGTGTTGCGGTCAACAAAACTGAAAGGAATTGGAGATCTGAGGACAGCTTTGACATCAGGACATGAAGATACAGAGTTTGGAGTTTGCCCAGCTGGTTTTTGGTATGGATTTGGTTCAGTACTTTCTCACTATGCTCCCTTTCCTGTGTTTTGGAATGGTAATGCATATCTTGTGCCATTATATGTTGGAAATATGTGATCTGTTTTTTGATTTTACTTTTACAGGGGATTAAAATAAAGAAGAGACTGCATGAATCTCAGAAGAGACTTTGAATTTAGACTTTTAAATATGTTTGAGACTGTTATAGACTATGGGACTTTTGAAGTTGGACTGAATGCATTTTTGCATTATATGACTATAAACCTTTGGGGGCCAGGGAATGGAATGTGGTGATCTGGAAGAAAATGGCCCCCAAAGGGAGTGGCACTATTAGGAGGTGTGCTTTTGTTGGAGGAAGTGTGTCACTGTGGAGGTGGCTCTGAGGTCTTATATATGCTTAAGGCATGTCAGTGAGACAGACCACTTCCTATTGCCTGCTTATCAAGATGTAGGACTCAGTTCCAGCACCCTGTCTGCCTTCACGCTGCCTCGCCGCACCATGATGATACTGACGACCACTGATGTCGAAGTGTAAGCCAGTTCTCCTTCCCACGTTGCTTTGGTCATGGTGCTTCATTGAAGCAACAGTAACTCTAAGACAGTCCCAGCCCTAACAAGAGACTCTCTGCAACTGATGCACCCTGGTAAAAGGAAAAGAGGTTCTCTCTAATGGGGTCTCACTGGGTATACCAACCACAAAGTGCAGGCCCCATGCCAGGAGTAATTGGCTAATATAAAACAAACTCAATGATATCTTTTCACGGACCTTTTGTTTCGTTTTGATTTGCTTTGGCATTTTTTTTTTTCTTGATTTTTTTTTTTTTTAAGAGACTGAAAACATAAGGTTGGGTGAGTAGGGAGGTGGAGGGGATCTGGGAAAAACTGGTGAAGGGAAAAACATGACCAAAATACATAGTATGAATTTTTTTTCAGTAAAAAGTAATGAAAAGTCAAAAAGGCTCTCTCTCTTTTTTTTTTTAATCAAACAGAAACATAAAAAAATCAAGTATTTAAAAATAAATAGTCAGTGAGAAACTAATGTCGGTCAAATTTGCCCAACTTGTTTTACCAGTTGATGTTCTCAGAAGTTAAAGCTTTGTGTGTCTAGCTGATTTACACTTCCTCATTCTGGGCATTCAGTCTCCCTTCTCTTCTGTTTTGCCATCCACTCTAAGTTGTCTCCTAAAGTTTCAACATTCAGTGAATCTCAGAAATTTGAAGTAATTTTGCAACCAGCTTAATTTCGGAGTGCTCAGCAATTAACTCTAGGCATTCGCAAAGAATGCAGTCAAGCAAGCACCACGATTCCCCATGTCTTCTGATGCAGCCACTCACCTCTTGTGAAAGCTGTCTCACTTGGTCCTTTTGATGTTCCAGATCTTTTAAAATTGATGAATTCTGTTTTTCTAACTGAAGAACTCTTCTTGCCAAATGGACACTAGGTGAATAAAATGAAAAGCATTCATGCATACAAAAGTAGAATGCTACCTACACTCAACAGATAATTGTGTGCTAGAAAACCCACTCATCATTTCCTTATAACACATATATATTAACAGAGAAAATGATAATACAAAGTAAGAAAATAAAACAAAACACTAGAAGAGCAATACTTGCCAACTCAGAACTCTGAAAGAAACAACCTAACATTTCCACATGATAACTGTCATATACTAATTACCACGATCATGGCTTCTAATCCTTCCCCACCAAAGTAGGTTCCAACACTTACATTACGTGACTAGCTTGACAGAAGAAGATAGCCATTTATAGCGTTATCATTTTAACCAAAGTTTCCCAGTTACAAAGCAGCGAGGAAATTATGCACAATAAGCTTACATTTTGGCAAGTGTTTATAAAGGCCAATATTATGAATTTTAAAAAACAAAACATAATCAAACAGGTTTCCTATTGCAAGTGCAGGTGGAAGAGATGTGTAAAATATGAAGAATAACAGCAGTACAGGCAAAGAACTTCCAGTGATTTGCATTACCCCAATACATACCCCCCTCTCTTGGCTGGCTCTTAGCCTATAGCCTAGGCTAGCCTCAAATCATGGATCCCCTTATGTCAGCCCAAGTGTTAGGATTATAGGCATATACCATCATGCTCTACAGTCCATCACATTCCATTTTTAAGAAACAATTTTTTAAAGAAAAATGCTTCATTTTTTTAAATAATTCCAATGACTCAATCAAAACACATTTTTTTTTTTTTTAAAAGGAAGTACTAGTAATGCTGAGAAACTGTGTTCTCAAGACCTACTCTGCATTTCATGGTCTACATTATTTTAGTTATCAATTTAACCTATGAATATAGAATTCACGGACTCCAAATGGACAGAACTTTTTACAATGATAAGATGGGATTCTTATTTTTTTTTAAATTCCCACCAAATAACACTACAGAACAGAATGAGCCCCATTGTATGCATATTTCCCAACCAAAGGCAAAAGAATTCACGTCAGAGTATCCATTTATGTGTAATAACTGCTCACCCAAGTAAGAAATTCAAGTTCTGAGAAACGTTTCTACAGCGATCTCAACAGCATGTCTACACATCAACATCTTTGCTCTGGCATGCTGTTTGCCAATCAGCGGGAATTAAAGAAGGAAAAGCAGCAGCCTTCACTCTCTGGCAATCATTCTTGAAAAAAACCTATTATGTCGGAAATACATAATAATATGCAACTAACACCACAAATCCCAATTTAAAGTGTAGTGAGACTTGTCCAAGTATCACTACAACACAACTCGAGACCATTTTTACCTCCTATGAACAGCCAGCCTTGGTCTTTCTCCACTCTGTTTAATGCCTCTTAACCCCTCCACTCCATTTGAGGGAACCTCAACCACTTTCTTCTTTATAGGCTTTAAAGGAATTTATAGTTTCATTTTATTATTTTTTTTTACTCTAAAAACCATACTTTATGTATGGCAATGCAATTTACATATTAACATTGCGATAGAATTTGACACAGTTTTGTCCAGAAAAGAAATTCAGCTTATTAAAAAAAAATTACATTTTCTCTGTGAGTCAATACAACAAACATAGAGTGTTGGGTTTTCGAGACAGGGTTTCTCTTTATAGCTGTCCTGGAACATAGTTCTGTACAAAACTATGTAGATCAGACTGGCCTTGAACTCAGAAACCTGCCTGCCTCTACCTCTGAGTGCTGGGATTAAAGGCATGAGCCACCACATCCAGCTCCAATGAAATATCTTAATGTTAAATTTGTTGGTTTAAATGTTGCTTTTAACTAAATTTGTAAACTATTTTCGGTCACTAGCTCCACTTCTGTTTAGTTAATTAAAAAAATCCTGATTATTATCAACCACATTTTCATCTTCTTTCTCACCCTTCATATACATCCATACAAACGTGTGTGTGTGTGTGTGTGTGTGTGTGTGTGTTGGGTATAGTTTTCCATATTTTTGTTTCTCACAGAACTTACACTTGAGAGTTTTTTCTAAAGAACAATTTCTCCACAAATGTCTGCTAAAGCTACAGACAATATCTGTGTAAGACTGACTGCAAAAGCATGAACACGGTCAAATTCAATTACAAAGAAGTACAGATGAGAGGGGATTTTTATGCAAATATAATTCTGTGTTTTCTACTAAGAGATGAGAGATGCTTGAGACAATGAGATGCAACAGTCACCTTTAAACAGCATTCTGAAGACGATGGGGACTTGGCAATGTCAAGTGAAGTACATGACACCGCTCACTTGGTTTGGGTAATCTGTTTTAGCATAATGCTCTTATGCAGATATGGTGACAAAATGAAAAAGATCCTATGACATAAACCAGGAGATTCTGTGCCAGTGCTTTAGTGTTAACACAGGGACAGTATCCTAATGAGTGCCCCTGGTTTGACTTAGGACATTTTGAGAGACAAAACCCTCAACGCAAAAGAAGGTATTACAGCTTGCGTACAAAACGCCCTAGAAATGTATCTGTAGTCCCAGGGATCCCACACCTCCTTTTTCACCACAGGCACCGAGCACACATATGTAGCATGTACATATGTGTAGGCAAAACTCTCACATGCGTGGAGTAAAATAAGAAAATACAAAAAAGAATTTTATTTATTTAAATATTTATTTATTTATTATGTATACAGCATTCTATCTATTTATAGTTTCATTTTATTATTTTTTTTTTTACTCTAAAAACCATACTTTATGTATGGCAATGCAATTTACATATTAACATTGTGATGGAATTTGACATGCATGCAGGCCAGAAGAAGGCATCAGATCTCATTACAGATGGTTGTGAGCCACCATGTATTTGCTGGGAATTGAACTTAAGACCTCTGGAAGAACAGACAGTACTCTTAACCTCTAAGCCATCTCTCCAGTTCCACAAAAAAAGAATTTAAAAAAATTCTACACTAGCCAGTAAATTTTACAAATTAAAAATGTTCTAAAAATGTCTCCCAGCATCCAGATCAGCCCAATCAAAGAGGTACACACCAAGACAACAGTGCTCGGGTGTCACCCGTGTAGTGCGTTAGCATGAGCAATACGCAGAACCAGAAAATCTTGTTTGCTACTTTCAAATAGTTGCTACTCAAACAAAAACATTACTTCAGATTTTCAAGTTTGGTCATGTCAAGGAGTTAATTTTATTTTAATTCACTCTAATTATATAAGCCCCTTTGGCTTTCCACAATTGTGTACCAGAAAGAGCTTTAAAAATTTTAGTAATTTACTTACGCTTACACGAAACTTCAAAGTGTGAGTTACCTTACTGTACACTCACACGTTGATCAGAGATTTTAGTTATATTTCCAATGAGGAACACAAACCACGACCACTGTAACCTCACAGGAAACCGGCACTAGAGTGCCGTCAGGAACAGTTCACATCAAAGAAAGCACATGTCTGTTTCATGTATTTTAAAACGCTTCATTAAAAATTTAAAACAAAAATATTTTAATTGAATTATTTTAACTGGTGTCCAGGGAGAAATTTTGGAACCCTGGCTTTTCTAACTGTACAACTGACTTAAGACTGTACTAACTGATATAACCACCGAGTGTTTACTGGACACTTAGCCTAGGCCAAACACTGTGTAGTGACCTTCATATACATTTTCTCAATTTAACTTTTAAAATATTCTTTGGGTAGCAAGAGGCAATTATTAATTCTTTTCATGGGCTTTACTACTTATTGACAGTAACATAGCACTCAAAACCAAGAAGCCTAAAAAAATCAAAGTTTTAGGTAGTTATTGAAAATGGTTTTTGACCAGACATGGTGGCGCACGCCTTTAATCCCAGCACCTGGGAGGCAGAGGCAGGTGGATCTCTGTGAGTTCAAGGTCAGCCTTATCTACAAAGAGAGTTCTAGGACAGCCAGGGATGTTACACAGAGAAAGCCTATCTGGAAAACCCGAGGACACAAATGAGAATGATTTCTAACTCCGTTTGAAGGTTAGCATACAATGTAACAGATTTCAGCAGGCTATGTCACACGTCCCTGCCACCATCCTTTCTTCTCATGCTCAGCTCTCCTTTCTCATGCCCTCTTCCCACTGCAACTATTTATTATTTATTCCCCAGTTAGTATATTTTGAAGAATATTCATTGATAGAAAATATTCATGATGGAATGCTAAAGTTAAAAACTAAACTACTAAAAATGTATAATGTCCAAAAAGTGCAAGGAAATTAATGTTTGTATAAATTTCTGATTGATTATTTGAAAAATGGGATTAACAGCAATTTAACTAATTTTTAAAATAAAATATTTATAATCAATTAAATGTTAACATCAAATATTTATTATTGGCTGTTAAATATATAAAATTTTAAATCAAATTAAGTATGAATGAGATACATCATATAGCAGTTGAGAAATCTGTTCCTTTGAATTTTTAATGTACTTTTGCATAAGCTGATATATAATGACAACTTTATTATGCAAGCACTCCATTTACTGCTATGAGTCATTTTATATAACTCACTTTAAATTTGCATTGCTTTAATTTCAAATGCCAAAGACTAATAAGTATAGATTTTCTAAAGGCTACATTGCTCATCTTAAATAAATTTCAAGAGGGCACAAGGCAATTGCTTTCTATATAAATAGCCCTTAAGGAACCAAATGTTGATTGTGCATTCTCCAAAAGTGCATCAAATCCTAAAATGGATTAGGTGCCAATACTCAAATTGTGCACATAGTAGGCCCGCAATAAGAGTTGTTGAATGAATAGGTGTACGGATGCACACATGTCCTCTTGGATGTCTAGACTTATACTCTCTTCCCTCAGTTTAGATGACCTGAGAAGCACTTCCTCAAAATAGCCCTCTGGCTCACCAGGAGAAGAATGCCTGGCACAGCTGGCAGGGGTATTAATAGCATACCCATTAGGCACTTGTTCAGGCTCCCAGATAGCTCGGTGATAGAATCTTCAGAAATATTTGGACAGTGAAGATCATTTGGACTATGAATCACTTGTGATTCTTTAAGTCTTTGGGAATTCAAAACCAAACCAAACCAAACAAACCAACTTCTGGTTTTAGAAACTTCTTTAAAACACAAGGTACAAGAGCAACAATCAGATTTAATTTCTAAGCTCAGCATTTGGGGCTATGGAAGCATACAAACAGTGAGCTTCTTTCTCCCTATAGAAAGATCTATAGGATTCAGAGAGTGAGCTTCTCT